ATGGGTAACAGGTTAGGGTTAGGCGATAATTTTTTTCCAATTTTCCTTATTTTAGTCCTATTATCAGTTCGAAGACTAGCCAAGAGCCTCCCGTAGTATTTATACCTTTATACCTCCTGATGTTAAGTAGTTTATCCTTCTCTACATTAGTGGTTTTACAAATCACTGATTGATAGTTCAAGAGGTATTAGCATGAGAAATGATATCGCGTGTTCTTTGTGTGGGACTTTTTCTCTTTTTGGTGTTTTTCTCTTTATTTATTTTAAAATAGGTAAAGCTGTGTGTTTAAGTGAGTGAACACGTGGGGTAAATGATAATTTAAAAATGTTATGCTCGGTCCATGCATGATGATAAATAATATAATTAAGCCAAAAGTGTAATAAAAAAAATTGGATCATGGAAAATATAAAAAGTGTTTTTGAAGTTACACGCGTGGTTGTAGGATGGGGTGGATTTTATACGCGAGATCCAAGCGTATTCCAATGAAATAAAGCAGATCATGAAATATTTCTCTTCCTCTCAAAAATTAAATGATAGATTCTTACATGGCATTAAGTCCATGTCCAAGCCTTATTAGTAGAAGGACATATTAAAAGGTAAAAACTAAAGATGATCTTTGCACGAACAACGAAATTTTATTATTTTTCTCATTTTAGTTTCAGTTTTTTTCTAGTCATAGATATTATACGTAATCTGCAAAGATATAAACATTTTTGGTAATCGAAAATATGAAGCGTTATAAGAGGTCTGTTGTTTTCCTATTTCTTACTGCAAATGAATCATTTCTTATTGAATGGTCCAACGACTATGCGTGCGGTATCTTTCACCAGTCAGAGTGTTTCATGGGCATTTGCTTTCGTTTTATGGCACGGGCTTTAATGTGGGTGGAGGTAACAAAACTCAAATCCGGAAGTTACATCTTGGGATGGCCGGTCAACGCAATTATGAAGAATAAAATGTGGTTCATTATATGTATTTATACATTTAAGTTCAAAAAATTAGCATTTCTACCCGCTTCGACATATACATTCATACATCCTTTAGGCTATTTAAAAGTCCCTATCAAAATTTGCATCAGTTGCTAATTAGGCTCTGGCAATTCTATCGACAAATGTATAATTTATTTTGACATGAGCATGTGCATTTGTACATCGAATTTAAGCTTTTGTGAAGGTTATCAACGGGCCCGAGATACCTTTCTCGCAATACGAAGTCAGTAACATTATTAGAACCGCATAGTCACGCTAAAACTTTGTTTTTCACCTGGAACCGAAGTTCTTAAATTTCAGGGTAGGGGCGATCAACGCCTACGCACGCAGACGACAGATTTTGAGTTCTATTGTGCGTCATAATGTTTGGACGTAAACAATCAAAATCACGCTTTTCAGTACAGAAAACTCGTCGTTTTTTGAATGGGGGTAACTGAAACAAATAAATAGTCGGGTATAGTGATAGCATAATTGCTAATTCTATTGTCAGATTTATACATTGGCAACTTGAGGAAAATATGATGCACTAACTAGAAAAAAATCTTATAATTTAGATCTGAATGAAATGAGAAAAGAATTTAAATACTGCGAAATGCCCATTTTTAAGTCTTCCAGCCTTTTCACTCAAAACAGGGCTCTGTACTTGTATCCATTGCTATTTAAGAAGCTACTTCAGTTCAAAGGACTGTAATCTTCCCGATTCGGCATTAGATACCAAATTTATTTAACTGAATTTTAAGGTATATAATAAATCCGAATTGTCCCGTGGTATGTGTACCAGGTTAGGGTTAGGCCATAATTTTATTCCGATTTTCCTTATTTTAGTTCTAGTAGGCGTTCGGGGACTTCTGAGTTAGTTAAGTATATAGGCTTTAGGCCCTTCACAATACTTGATGTAAAATAGGCAAACAAAATTGGTTAACTCCATATTGGTACACACACTTCTGGAGCGCCAAAATTAGAATACCCGAACACTATTCGGTTCGATTCTAAAATCGAAAAGTTGAATTTTAAATCTGCCATTAGGCTACCGGGACGACAAAACTACTCGATTGTCTGCGTGGGTTTTGTATGACGACGCCAACGGTCTTCTGGTGAAGTGGAAGTTTGGGTTGATATGACGAAACATAGGACAGTTGTGCAAACAATCATTCATAGCAGAGGCGGATTATACGCTCATAATTAAAATATGAAGTGCAATTATGAGTTATAATGGCTTATGTTCATTCACATGACATCAGCGATTTTATGAGTTGGATGAACAAATAATATCTAACCGCGAATATCGGAGGCATATTTTACGCCTGATAAATTACCGGTAACTATTCTATATCGATCCTAAAAAGGTTACCGGTTTATCGTTACCGATACATGAACTTGATAGTAAAAGATAATTTGAAATATTTATTCAAAACTCTTATACAGCATATACAGCCTTACTTCAGTAATATTTTAATGCAATGACATTTATTTTATATGCAATGTGTGGACTAAGTAAAAACCCCATCATGGCCTTCGAGCTGGCTATTATATGTCTTTTAATTTCCGTTAACCGATCGAAATTTGTAACAAATTAGAAAACTGTTACAAAATAATCGTTTTATCCTTAAATTATACAAAATGGAAGAGAATTAGTTCAATTATGTACGGCAATTATCACATTTTCTTACGATTACGTTATTTGTTATGATACAATTAACAATCAGGCGAATATATTGTGATCAAACAATATTAATAGCTTTTTAATTCATAAATTTTTATGACCATTGTGTAGTCATAAATCTAACGTCGTTACATAACAATTAGCAAAGACAATGGGAGGTAAAAGAGCGCGAAATAGCTACAAAACATTCAAGGTATTTGATGACTTGTGGAAAGTTACTGCTTCGTAGCCTGAGGCTTTTAATCCAGTAATTATCCTGCCTGAGTTTTTACATTGCATTTAGAAACAAATTGAGCCTGTCTGCGATCATGCGAGACGGTAGACATTCCGTCTTATTTTTAAATTATATTTGCCTGTATATGTACAATATATAAATTTCTGGATCGTCGATAATCTGCTGAGTGCTGAACGAAAATATCGTCTCCCACAATAAATAACAAGTCATATTTTAAAGGGAATTTTGCCCCGAATGTAGCTAGTAAACACTAATTTCAGGTCATCTGCTCAAGAATTGAGGTTTAACATGAAATCAAATTTGAAGATGGAGGAAATTATAAAAATTGTGAAAGAAATGTCCTTTTCCGCGATAAAAAAAACAAGTCATATCATTGTATGGAAATTTTGCTTATAGTTCACATAATCAAGAATTGATTTTTAAAAGTAAATCAACCTTGAAGCGATTTTTACAATAAAAGGAAGGAATCGAAACTAAAAAAATAGATAGTAACACAAGTTTATATAGGTTCAATCAAAAAAATATTATAAATGGAAAACGAGTAAGAATCAATTTAATTGAGTGTATCCAAAATGCACTTGCTCGTGATTTTCAAATCTTTATTATTTAACGAAATATGTCGTTATATCGGGCAGTTTAAACACTTTTCGCAATACTAAATATAATTAAGCTTTTCGAGGCGTTTCTGGTCCATGGATTAACGAGGAGCAAGTTTAAAAGTCATAGAATACTAAATTAAAAATATAATTTGAATATTAATTGTTTCGTAAACACATAATGTTTCTATACTAAAGCCAAATTGAATACGAAATACAATTAAATTTCCGTATTTCTCAGTAATTTTGGTAACGATTTTACAGCTGCCAAAATCAATAAGATCTCACAGCCACGAAAGACTCTCAAAAATCGAATATCGTGGATATCGACCACCAAGAAAAATCCAAGTTCAACTTAGCTGGTCTGAACAACAATATATATCTGAACATATGTACATGAAACTCGCAAGGTCTATTTTAGTCACTCAAAAAGTCGATTTCATACTAAAGGACAGAGAGCCAATACGAAAGAAGTGGGAGGCGAAACAGAACTTGGAATTAGAGATGTTTAAAGTTTTGAATAATGAGAAAATTTAAAATTAAGCTTATTCGAAGACTGTATTTTCGAAAATTCAAATAACAGATAATAGGTCAATAGTTTTGATTCACAATAACTCAAATATAATTCTGTTTTATTCTGTTTGTCTGACTTTGACTCGATGAATCGTTACAGTTCATAATATAATTGGGTTTTGAATCACGGATTATAGTAAAAGTGAAAGATAAATGAAAATATCTGTGAAAGATTCCAATTTGGTAGTTAGTTACCGATTTGGACATTGAAATTCTGGCCATATATTTGATTTTACAGTAGCGCATTCTTAATATTCGAAATTGATTATTCAACAAAATTCCAAAATAATTGGCCAGCAATAATCATTGCAGAATTGTAGAATACTTGGTTATACCTACCCCTACTTATATTATGTTATGTAGCTCCATTAAAAAGCATATAAAGTCAACTATGAAGATGGATTCACTACTAATGTTTTGCCCAACAAGTGCCCGATCGTCCATCCACATTCAGACTAGGCGGTTTCATTAGAAGCGAATTACTAAATACTATCAATATTAAAATTTGAAAAGCATTTATCAATGTATTTTGAGAGAGTAATATTATTATACATAAATCATAAAATATTCTTAACGGAGAAGCCCGGCTTCACTTCTAGCCGTAATAACACGACGGGAGATACAGACGCGGCCGCATTTTGGCGCTTTTCGAACTGCAGTTGTCATAGCTTTGTCGAATGTTCGTTTGAACAATAATAACTTATACAGTCTCATTGGTAAAGTATTATATGTAAATTCTCTATGTTTTGAAACTTGGAATGGAATTCTACAGATTTTATACAGAGTACAAAAAAACAAATATGCCGTCTCGAAGACGGAAACTGAGACCTCCTGTCGGGTTACCAATGCAGGCCGGGGTATGTTAAATTGACGATAATATTATACCTTTTGATTCATAAAATATGTAAAATTCGATTTTCCCCAAATAAAACTAAAACACTTACCAGCTGAAATCGATCTTTGGACTTGAATCATCAAACAGAACAATAAAAATATTTTCCGAAGTTGTTTCGTACATTCCATTCTTTGTGTGTTTTCCTTCGCAATATTCCCGCTAACGATTAATAACACTGATGCGGTATTACTTTATTATAACTGTTAGTTTATCATATCTATTTCGCTATTGGTGCAATAACTCGTGCGCCTTTCCTTGCAGACTGCTTACCGGTAATGAACAGCTAATGCCGTTTCTTCTTTTCGTGAGACGAGAGATTCGCGCTTCAATGATCCCTATTGTTACGTATTTTTATCGGTTCAGCGTAACGAGGAATGCGACTGAATTGTAATTAAATTCGGTGCTCAATAGCGCCATCTGGAGTCGGTGAGTTTGTCTCCATTTTTTAGTGCCGATAAATGTTTTTACTCGCTGATAAGATCTTTCTAGAAGCCAGAGGTGCGGAGTCAAGAAAAGTCACAATTTAATCCGGATTTCATGGAGTTTTGACTCCGATTCCAGTCGAACTCTAAAAAATCAAATTTTAATAAAAAGACTTTGGCGCATGTGAGCCTTCTTTAGCATAACATTAAAAATGCTTATTCAAAATTAATACTTTTTTAGTTTAGAAGATAAAAGATTTTGACTAAATATATTACCGTTAAAACTCTGGTGAATTTAAAATTTTTAATCCGACGAGTCTGAAAATCCGGTTCCAATGAAAATATAGCAACACTGAGTCCACAGCCCTTTCACTGGCCATACGCTATGTCGGCTAAGCAGGCAATTTCAATTTATCGGACGCACAACATCAACTAACGGTCGCGAAGCTTTGAGCGAAGTCTTGAGATGCGGTTACCAATTAGTCACTCATTATCAAAAAGCCATGTTTTCTGGTGATAGCTTGGTTAGTATCGATCAATAATTTGATTTCGGCTCTCTGACATGAATCAAAACAACACATAAGTAAACAGACAAACAAAAAGCAGAGATATCTGGAAGGCGAGCTTAACTTGAAATAAAGTTTGAAAAAACGTTAAAAAAGTACGTGCCCATTTACCAACAAGAGAGCTATGCTCAAATATATGGACACGTAGAGTCACATAATTTTGATGACGTCATAGCGAAAAAAGAAGTAATAGCCTTCTGGAGAAAATTTTTATCTTTAACCACTAAAAATTTCAAAGCAATTGGTCCAGTATTCGAAGGGAAAAGCGACTTTTTAAAAACGTGTCAAGCGGTACTGAGTTAGCAGTCAGGCAGCATCTTACCTGTACACTGTAGGCCATATACGGTAATTGATCACAGAACAGTTGTTCCCTTGCAAATTTTATGTTGTTTACACTTTAGGACAGATAATTGATCACAGAACAATTCTTCCCTTTCAAATTTTATGTTGTTTCCAGTAGACTCTCATCAAAATAAACAAATATAGTAGGCTACAAGTGCTACAACGCTTGCATTACTGCACTGGTAGGACCGTGAAAGAATAAAATACGGTAATTTCATTGTGGTAAGACACCGGTACCGGCACCAGTACCAGTATCGTACTTACGTACTGAGCTACCAGTACCGGTTAGCAGTCAGCCAGCATCTTACCTGTACACTGTAGGCCATATACGGTAATTGATCACAGAACAGTTGTTCCCTTGCAAATTTTATGTTATTTACACTTTGGGACAGATAATTGATCACAGAACAATTCTTCCCTTTCAAATTTTATGTTGTTTCCAGTAGACTCTCATCAAAATAAACAAATATAGTAGGCTACAAGTGCTACAACGCTTGCATTACTGCACTGGTAGGACCGTGAAAGAATAAGTTACGGTAATTTCATTGTGGTAAGACACCGGTACCGGCACCAGTACCAGTATCGTACTTACGTACTGAGCTACCAGTACCGGTACCGAACCTGTAGGTCTGATATTCCGTTCCGCATACGATAGGCTATAAAACTTGCATTGCAGCATTAGTAATACCGCGGAAGGAATAAGTCAATTTCACTGCGTTACGGCACCGGTATGGCAACTTACCAGTACCGACCTACAGTAGCTGTAGTACTGAGCAAGACAATCGATCGCGAAACCGCTTGAAATAAGTGTAAAACAGTGTTCCCATGAGTAAAAATAAATACCGCGAAATTTTGTATGAAATATCATATCTCATAGGATTCATATAAAATTTAAGAATAAACAAAAGTAATAGCCTTCTAGCGAAAAAATTAATCTTCAACCACTGAAAATTTCAAAGCAATTGGTCCAGTATTCGAAGAGAAAAGCGACTTTTTAAAAACGTGTCAAAGAACAAGAACAACAAGAACAAGAACAAGAACAACAACAACATAATATTGAAACGATCGTTATGTCCACTACGTGTCCAAAAATGAAAATAGCACACAAGAGATTGAACACGATTCAAAATCTGACAATACAAAAGCAATTTGAAATGAGAAAACACGTAACAATCAAATACAAGAGAGCAATGCTCAAATATATGGACACGCAGAACAATTCCCCAAAAATCATATGCGGTGACCAACGACTAACATACCGGCGGTGACTTACCAGTACCTGTATCGGGGTACCGTGACGGTACAGGGACTGTCATAGATATTTTAGGTCCTGTGACAATTGAAACATCAGTTGAAATATCTCGTGATATGAGTCAATTATGTACCGTATTATCGGATCAGGTACCGAACCACAGTCAAACATTTCACATAAAAACGTTACTAAATAACATGCGTCAACTTAACACCAGCCGAATCGGGGTACAATTTTTGGTACAGTGACTGTCATAGCCGTTTAGGGCTGATGGACAATTCGACTACACGGACAACTCACCAGGCCTAGGGTGGTGTAGCCAGTCTGCGGACAATTTCATTCAAACCGCTATAAAACAAAAACCAATATATCTAACCCGTTAATTTTTTCACCGTGGGTGCATTGGCGGCATTTATTCTACACGCTAAACCTCGTATTAACTTTCTACGACAAAGGGTTGAAGCTATACAAATCCCCAAAGTACGGCACTCGAAAGACGTATTTGCGGCCGAACGACCAGTGTGCGACCACGGATTTCAAGCCTTGATCATCGTTTATGCTGCGTCGAGACTATCGCATACGCAGCCATACAGCAATCAAACAGACAAAACACGGTGGTCGCAAATTGGTTGACAATTGTTGGTCTTGTGACAGCGTGAAAACATTGGGCTTCTAATTGCATTTCTGACCGTCATATATTTCAAGAACACGGTTATTTCGAACAAAACTCGTTAAATTATAAACAAAGCACCACATCACAGCAATCAAACAGACGAAAACACGGTGGCCGCAAATTGGTTGACAAAGATATTATCGACGTATCGGAAATGCACACCCCCTATTCCCCCTCCTTCAAATGTAGAAAACGCGAAACTTTCAAATATGGTTAAAAGAAACACAACTCTACCCACCTGCCAAGTTTCATCTTTTTATTTCTCATATTTGTATGGATTTTCAAGCTTTTGACAGCTACGAGTTAGTTCAATGTCACCGCGCTGTGTTACGGTACCAGAACTTCTCTATCTTTAGAAGGTCCTGTCTTGTGACAGCGTGAATTGAAATTGCAAGATGGTCCGTTGGACACAAAATGACGTCCGATATCCGCAGAACGTTTAGTGACGTCATAGCAAACAAAAACAAATCTTACAGAGCTAACAGAAATATTTGAAATAAATAAAAGTAATAGCCTTCTGGAGAAAAATTTCATCTTCAACCACTGAAAATTTCAAAGCAATTAGTCCAGTAATCAAAGAGAAAAGCGACTTTTTAAAAACGTGTCAAAGAACAAGAACAAGAACAACAACAACATAATATTGAAACGATCGTTATGTCCACTACGTGTCCAATAAGAGTAGCTTGATTAGCATGCGATCGATTCGTCTGCTTCACAGAGGCTTGTCACTTGTCAATGCCGTACTGAGTCAACTTCTAGCAAACTGAACCCTGTTTAGTACATGTTTGTTCAACATAGTGAAAACGAACTAGGAACCAGCACTTAGCAGAAATCGGTCGCAGGCTGGTCAAGTTAGCATTGGTGACGTAGTATGGATACATGTTGCGGGTGCTCCTGAAGTATGCGCACCAAAATGGCGCACAACCTGAACTCAGGTTGTGTACCAGGTTAGGGTTCAGGTCGTGCGCCATCTTGGTGCGCATACTTCAGGAGGTCTCTGTTGGTGCGACTATAGCATAATGTTCACCACACAATAACGAAAAGTATATCTCAATTAAGTACTATAGCGCGAGAACAGGAAACTATAGTCCCGTGGTAACTCGAACATAGGTGCTTGAATTTTTTTTTTTTCCTGTTTATTGGGCGTCTCCCTCAAATTCAGGTCGCGCCGACTTTTATTTCTTCTTATTTTCTTTCAAACATTGTTTGACTTTTTAATTGTATTTTCCATTACTGTTAGACTCATCACAGGCAGTGGCATATCTGCGTAAAATTGGGCCCATGGCAAAGTTTTAAAATGCGCAACTTTGATCGCTGACTGGCAATTTTTAACGAATGTTGCTGAATTGAAATATTTGTACGGTATTATCTAAAAAAAAATACGAATTTCTATTACCATGTTTGGATTATTGTATAAGAACAATTTACGATTAAATTTTTTGGTCTTTTGCGCCCCTATATGACTGGCGCCCATGGCACGTGCCACGGCCTAGATACGCCACTGATCACAGGCGTCGCTGCTCGATAACCAGTATTGGTTACTTGCGACTCCTTTCACCCCGAATTATCAGTTTTTGCTTCTTTTTACATTCTGTATTCTTTTGGTTTATTGGACACGTCAGTGGACATAACGATCGTTTTGCATTTTATACTGGCACCCTGACAAGTTTTTAAAATATCGCTTTTTACTTTGATTACTGGACAAATTGCCCTGAAATTTTTGGGGGCTAAAGATAAAATTTTTCTTCAGAAGGCTAAATTTTTCATTTATTCCAAAGGTGTCCATATATTTGAGCATATCTCTCTTACTACCGATTACTATACTGTGAGATCCACCTCAATTTAAAACAATAGCGTGAAGGTCTGTCAATGTTTATTTCTTGTAATGTTTTAAATTTTCTCAATCGCTGCTAACTAGCCCAGGCCTGGAATGAATCTGAGACAACAAACGAGTAAGCGACATATGGCAGCATGGAGATCTACTGGTCGGGGTTCCGCATTATAAATTTGAATTCAGGACTCAGAAACACCCTGCGTGTTCTTGGTTTTGGTTCTTGGTTCTATTCTGCTCGTTGAATGAGGTTATCGTGACTGAAAGGCGGAACAGTAACACGAAATCCCTAAATAATGATTTCAAGATATTGTTAGCGAATGCAAAACTGAAAAGAAAGAGCGTGCCGAAGTCAGTAAAAAAGAAAGTCTAATGAACAACCCGGGATTCACTATGACAAGAGATAACTTAGAAGAAAAGATGTTCCCGAACCGGGAATCGAACAATGGCCGTCTGGGTAGGAACCAAGAATCTTAAGCCCTGGTAGACTATCTGGGATGTTTAACAACGGCGTTGTAATCACTCATTACTGCTTGCATTGGCTTTTTCCCATAACTCAATGGTTCCTCTTCCCTTAATTTACAGCGCATTTCAGTTTGTATTTCTCGTGAAGATCGATCATCACTTCAACTCAGTTGCAGCCTCATCTGAGACTAAAGGAAATTTTAAACAATCCGTCTCAGAATGAAATGAGTCTCATGACGATATAATCTGTGACGTTTTATCTGCATCTCATTTACTTCACCCAAACG